CAAAAAAAGAATTATCAATTTTCATTAAAATTAAAGAAAGTTATGGCAAAAAACAAACGCGCGCTTAATTTGCCGCACCCTGTAAAATAAAAATTTAATAAAATTTTCTTTAATTTTAAAAATAAAAATTCATTAAAATATAAAAATTCAAAGAAATTAATTTTATTTTTAATAAAATTAATTCCTTTTATTCGAATAATTATTAAAGAAACTAATTTAAAAAATTAATTTAAAAAAGTTTAAATTATATAAACTTTAAAAATATGTTGGATATAGTATTAAAAGTATTTAAAACTATATTTTCACTATGGACTACATCTTTGGTTCGACTTCACCTTTTAAAGGCAATAAATTAGCCATCTGTATAATTTAAACTAAAAATTATAGTTGTTAAGGAAACGAAAAAAATTATATAATTTTTCGCCAAAAATGTAATTTTATATCCTTTATCCACTAGAAATTTTTCCTTTATTTATTAATTAATGGTTTTCGTTTGCAAAAATGTCTTGTTTTCTTTTCGTGTTTTTTATCCCAAAATTCCTTATAATAATAATTTAAAACTAATCTAAATCCCTTAACAGCCCATATAAAACCCCCTAGTATATTCATTGTTGTTTGTTGTAATTTGGTCATTTTAAAAAGAATATTGGATTTCTTTTATTTAATTAAAATTTTACATTAAAATTACTTAAATACCCAAGTTTGAGAAACCAAACAATTATAACTAAATAAATTAAATTTAAATTAAATCTCTTAAAAATAATTTGTTATGTAATAAATTTATATGTAAAATATGTTTAAGTAAACATTGATAATTAATGTCAAAAGTATATTTGATTATATCTAGTTTATAAAAGAATGAAGACTAAAAATTACAACCTATTTCCCAATCGTTTAAAGATTCAAAAAATCCATAGCTTTTAATAATTATTTTTAAATAACACATAATTTAAAAAATACAATCGTTACGTCTCAGATTGTAGATGTTTAAAGTTGTATGCGTGTCGCTAATTATAACCATTTAATACAAGAAAAGAATAGCGATAAAATTATAGATACTTATTCTTTTTAAAAATATTAAAATTGAATTAATGATAAGTAGAGCCCGGATTTTTATGCAAATGCATATTTTTTTTGCAAACTTTTCATGATGTGTTATGCACAAAAAACACTGTTTCCGCAAGTTTTGAAAACTTTAGAGGGGGTTTTTATTTGCATATAATGCATATTTTTGCATATTCCTGACTTTGTTACATAATGCATATTTTACTGCATATTTTGAGGTTTTTGGGGAAAATATTGCGAAAATTGCCTAAAATCCTGCCAAAAAGTGAAAATTTAGTAAAAATTTAGAAAAAAATTTGTAAAAATTACAAATTTTGTAAAAAAATTTTTGTGTTTATTGGTTTCGCCAGAAAATGGCCCACCCCATAATGTCTCAGCCCCAAAACGTCGCACCCCAAGATGTCCCACCACCAAAATGCCTCATCTTAAAATGCCCAACACCGTAAAAATGCTCAATTTGTCGAACTATACATTTAAAATAGGAGAAATCTTAATAAAAAATGTATTTTAAATCATTTTGACTAAAAATATGTAAAATTTTTAGGTATAAATGGTATTTTTCATGCATATATGCGTGTATATTTTGGTTTACTTGCATATTTTTGTGCATATTTTGGCAATTTTTTATGCATATTATAGTGCATATTTTACATTTTTTAATGCATAAAAATCCGGGCTCTAATGATAAGCATCTTTAAAACGAAATTTTAAAAATATTATATTTTAAATATAAAAAATATTTTTTAAAAAATATTTTTTAAATATAAAATTATTAATTATAAAAGTTATTAATTAGTTATTAACACCTTTTCAATTTATTTGTATGCATCAAACAAAAATAAAAATAAGAAATATATTTAAAAAATGTATGGCAATCGATGGAACATTTAAGACAACTCCTCGACGATTCAAAAAATTAAAATAAAATAATTGGAAATGAAGCACAGGTCAAGTATGTCGAAAAAACATTCTGGAAAATTGAAAAAATGTTTATTAATTTGATTTTATTCAAATAAATTTATGGAATAGTTAAAAATAATTTCAGAATATTCTAAATTATCTATTAAAATATTATTATACAATTGTTTAATGAAATCCCAAAAGGTAAATACTTATAAAATGATATGTTAGCAATTGTTTTATAGTCCGAATGTTAATTTATTTGAATGAATATAATAATTATAAAATAATAAAATAAATACTTGGGCAGAAATCTATGTTTGAAAGAAGACGCCAAACTTGAAATATATTTAGATACTATAATATTAATAAATTTTTATTACATTACAGATTAGAATTTTAGCTCAAATTTTAATGTATGTATTTTAATTCTCATATTATTATTAATTATTTTTGATTGACCTTATATTCTAATTTAAAGATGAAATTAATTTGTTTATAATATGTAGAAATATAAAAGAACCAAATCATCAATTTAAATTATTCATTTGCCCGACATTTTAGCACAACACATTCTCAAACATAGAATCCATAGCAAATACAAATTTGAAATAAAAAAAGATAATTAAAACAAGCAGGATGGCTTATTTACATTAATAAGTTAAAAATTTTATTAAAATAAAAAATAAAGAATTTGGCTAATAAAAAAACTTTTTTTATTATGAATGAGTAATTTAAATCTTTTATAAATTATAAGAATGAAAGAATTACATCTTTGATGTATTTGAGTAAGAATTCAATACATAAGGGTTTTCCAGATTTTAAAGTACTATAATCATTTGTCGCAGAGAATCTTAAATTGCTCCAATTTCTTCCCAAAAAACAAAATGTCACATGGGAACTTAAAATATTTCATTCATTAGAATGACAAACAAAAAGATTAAAAAATTTCATACTTAGAAATTAAAATTAATTTTTTTACCAAATAAATAGAAAAATAGTATATGAGTTAGTTAAAATAATTAATCAAAATTTCTAAAAGTTGTCTAAAAATGTATAATTTATTTTAAACATACTTCTAATTATAATAATTAAATTAATATAGCAGAATATTATTTTTATTTATTTTTCAATAAAATGTTTTCCATTCGCCCACACCCTTTTGACTCATTATAAAAACTAATTTTTGCCACTATTGTTTGATCATTTTAAAAAGGAAAATAACATTAAAAAAAAATTCTTTATTGTATAAATATTCAAGTTTGAGTTTTTTATTCAAAAACTTAAGTTATAAACCCTAGTATTAAAAATAAATTTTTGATTTAATTGAAAAGAAGAATTATAAAAGAAGAAAATTTTTTTTAAGAAGAGAATTTGGTAAATTTAATGTGAAGTAAATTGTAGAGTTTGCATATACTCTACAATATGGAAGAAATTAAAAATAAAATTATATAGATATATAATATTTTTAAGAAAACTACGATATAAATTTTATAAATTTTCTATAAACATTTAATTACAAATACCACACGTATGCAATCTCAAATAATTTTATTTGCTCTATTAGAAAAGTCAAAATTAATATATATATATAATTATTATAGTATTATATTAATTATATTGTAAAAAATGAAATTTTATGATAAGAATTTATATTCTAAGAGTTTTTATAAAATATACTTAAAATAAGAAAGTGATAAAAATAACTAAGAAATGTAGCAAAAATATTTCTAACTGCATACTTCAAAGTCAAACACCATATTTTAAAACTTACTTCATAAAATTATAAAAATGTTGCAAAATAAATGTGTAATAGCATAAAAGTATTAATATTTTAAACTATAATATACCTAATTTTAATTTAATAATAAAGAATTAAACTGTTTCTTAACATGTAAAAATATTGAAAACATAAAAAATATTTGTGTAAAAGTTTAATGGTCAAATAATATTTATGAATAATAAACGATTAAACATCAAATCATAAATGAGATTTTTACATATGAAATTATCATTGAAGTATTAGTTTTGTTTTAAAATTTTGATAAAAATATCTTCAACAAAATCGTCTGATTGTCTCATTTGGAGCCCTTTACGGGTCTCGTTACGGGTCATCAAAGCTAGAAATTAAAAATAATAAAGATTATTTAAAAAATTTTTATTAATAATTTATAAATAAAAATAAATTTTTTCCAAACAGACCTCAGTAATATGTTTATTTACCTTGTCTTTGTTGTAAAGAACCAGTCATAATGGGATATTGAAACTATAGTGGATACTGAGAACGATGAACATGGAAATATATATAGAGTATTAGTAAAATGGTATATAGAGTATTAGTAAAATCTCAAATATAAAAAATATTAATTATAAGAATAAATAATAATTTAAAAAATAAATTATCTGAATTTTATATTTACTAAGAAGAATAACAAAAAATAGTTATCCCCATAGTTATCCTTTGAGGTTTCCCCAACTCTAGTTAACAGAATTAATTAAACTCCAAAATATCGCTATGAATGTTAGTTAGTTGGGGGTCTATTAGAATAAAGACGATTAAAATTATTAATATTCTATCAAGTTTCATCATAAATTAATTTAAAAAATTTATTTAAAATAAAATATATATGTACCACAAATTTACCAAAAATAATAAATTTTTATTTATTTAATTTAAATAAGCAATATAAGTGAAAACACACATCGGATAAATATTTTACATTTCATAATAAAAAATATAAAGTACATTTCTCAGTTAAATAAAGTGCATTGCGATAAATAAAAAAATTTAATTTGTCGCATGCACTTTATTTTAATTGAGACTTGTACTTTATATTTTTTATTATGAAATGTAGAATAATTTACCCAAGGTGCTTTCATCATCTATACTGCTTATTTAAATTTAATAAATTAAAATTTATTATTTTTGGTTATTTTGTATTAAATAAAATTTTATTATAAATAATTTTTAAAAATTAATTAATAATGAAACTTGATAGTATTCTAATAATTCTAACATTCAACGCGATATTTTGGAGTTTAATTAATTCTGTTAAAAATAATAAAGATAAAAATGAGGTAACTAGAGTTGGGGAAACCTCAAAGGATAACGATAGGGCTGAATTATCGGTTAATGCTCAAATACAAAAAGATGAAAGGTTAAAACCAATACCTAAAATTGCAAAAAAGGTCACAACTAAAAATGATGAAAAAAAGAGGCGAGATTATGATATAAATTATTACCAAAATAACAAAGAAAAGATACAAGAAAGAAAGCGAATTTACTACAAGAACAATAAAGAAAAGTTGAAAGAATACTCCCAAAAATACCGAGAAAATAATAAAGAAAAGAGGCGAGAACATGACCAAAAATATTACCAAAATAATAGAGAAAAGGTGAAAGAATCTAATCAAAATTATTGCCAAAAGAATAAAGAAAAGAGGAAAGAATCTGTCCGAAAATATTGCCAAAAGAATAAAGAAAAGTTGAAAGAATCCAAACGAAAATACCGAGAAAAAATGAAAATTAAAAGAGAAAACTTAAAAAATGTGGATCCAAAAGTAGGAAATATTCATACTTATAATAATGAAGGAGCAACTTCTAATTCAAAAAATGATAATTCTAGAAATAAAGGTAAATTGCCAATAGTATACGAAGATAGCATTCAATTTGATGAAGGAAATCTTTTTAATCAAGATGAGGAAGGAACAGAAAATCATATGGAAGTACAAAATCAAGCCGTGGTAGTAGAGCCAACTGAAATTAATTCCATAAATCAGTCAGATTCAGATGAGGAAGATTATCTTATTTATTTGAACGATAAACCTGAGGGTGAAGATGAGGACGTTTGTTAAGAAAGAAATTAATTTGAAGAAGTTAAAATTTTAATGAGTATGTTATAGAGATCGGACCAAACATATATTTGACAACGGAAAATTAAATATTTGATCAAATATTTGTTCGATGAGCTTTTGAGGAAATTTGATTTTTTCAAATATTAAATAAATATTGTTATGTCCGTGATTTGAATATTTTTAATATTTTCCTTCATTCGACCTTTCTATTAGGGTTGTTGGCGGTCGGTTAACCAAACCGAAAATCGGTATTTTTTGCCAATAAACCGAAACCGAAAACCGTGGGCCGAAAACCGAAAAAAACACAATTTTTAATATAAGCAAAGAAAAGAATAAAACTTATTAAATTTTACATTTAAAAGGTAAGAATTTAAATTTGTAAATTTTAATATTTATAATTAATTTGCAATCCTATTTTTTTGAAAATATTTTATTTTCGAAATTTATTGCTAAATGAAAATATATTGATTTACTAATTTACAACAAAATGTCCCAGAATATATGCTAGGAAAAACAAGTTTGGCTTCCATTTCTTACCCTTCTGCCTATATATTTTGTCTTTTATAAATAAATAGGTCAGCTTTACTAACATAGTTATTGAAAACTAATAATATAAATTTTTTATTTAATTTAATTTAGAGTTTTTAAAAAAGTTTTTAACTAATTTTAGAAAGTTTAAATTATATAAACTTTAAAAATATTTTGGATATAGTATTAAAAAGTATTTAAAAATAAATTTTCACTATGTACTACATCTTTGGTTCGACTTAATTTTTTAAAGGTTATAAATTAGCCATCTGTTTAATTCAAAATAAAATTATTTGTTAAGGAAACGAAAAAAATATATAATTTTTCGCCAAAAATGTACTTTTATATCCTTTATCCACTAGAGATTTTTCCTTTATTTATTAATTAATTATAAAATAATAGAATAAATACTTGGGCGGAAATGTTTGCAAAAATGTCCTGTTTCTTTTTGTATTTTTTATCCCAAAATTCCTTATGAAAATAATTTAGAACTAATCTAAATCCTTTTTCTGCCAGTATAAAACCCCTTGTATATTCATTGTTGGTTTTTGTAATTTGGTCGTTTCAAATAGAATATTGGATTTCTTTTATTTAATTAAAATTTTACATTAAAATTACTTAAATACCCAGGTTTGAGAAACCAAACAATTAAAATTAAATAAATTAATATTAAATTAAATCTCTTAAAAATAATTTTGTATGTAATAAATTAATCTGTGAAATATGTTTAAATAAATATTGATAATTAATGTCAAAAGTATATATGTATTTAGAATCTATTACAATATTGAATAAAATAATGATAGTAATATTGTTAAGAAAATTACTAAACAAATGCAAAAATAACTGCAAAATAGTTAAAACTCCCAAGAAGCGAAGGTTTTTCTTTTAATTTCACATTTTGGTATAAAATCATATTAAAAATAAAAATATCATTTAAAATATCGAACTTGAAAATATATCTCAAATAAAAATTTAGTAATTAAATAAGAATGAATGTTAATTAAAAGAATAAATTAACAAATTTTATAAATACAATAATTAATAAATTAGAAATTAATTAATAAAACAAACATAGTAATAAGGCGTTATCAATCAGATTTACAATTATTAATATAATAATTATAAAACAAATATAAATGCCATGTCTAATCTTCCCGTAACGAAACTTGTTGAAGAGAGCATAAATAAAGTAAATAAATGAAATGCCAGAATTCTGACCACACAATCTTCAGAGCTTATTGAAAATGAATTTCAATTCGCCATTAATTTTAAATAATAATTTTAAAATTACTCTAAATATGATATAAAAATTTTATTTTAAAATATAAAAATTCATCGTAATTTTTAAAATTATTTATCTAAAATTTATTTTATGATTAATTTTTATTTACTTAATTAAATTTTATTATAATTAAGTATTTCTAATAAATCTTGACAAATTGGTTGAGTTTACTCAACAGAACCCCAACTTAGATAAAAATATTTTTATCAGCTGATGGAGGTGAATTTCATGGTGGAGGTGAATTTCAACATTAAAAATAAGGGTTGGGGTCGTTTTGGCGCCGGGCCGTTTTGGCGCGAGAACAAAAAAGTGGCACTTAGGCGAGACCTAACTTCATAAAAATTTTTTCAAATCTCTATAACATCCTTGACTACCTGCTCCAGAAATTTCGGAATTTTTTATCAAATATTTCTGAAGTTATAGTCGATGAACCTCGAAAAATTAGGCATTTTTCAAAAAATCAACATTTTTGGCCACAACTTCCGAAATTCTTGATCAAAAATTCTGAAATTTTTGGAGAACCTAGATAAAGGTACGAGAGTTATTATTGCAAAATTTTATCATTTTTGATAACGAACTCGCTATCTTATAAGCTCGCGCCAAAACGGCCCAGTCCCTAAAAATAATTGATTGTTTGTGTGTGGAGCATATTGTTTGGTTCTCAAATTCTTCGAAGGCCAGAAAAAAGGATCCACATTTCAATTCGGAAGGGCCCCTCGACGCCTCTTCTTTTCCCGCTTGAGGGAACCGGAGGACCTACCGTTCGAGTACCCCGTGTTATAACAATATCATAATAATATAAATAAAATTTGAATTTTTTAAAGATTTTTAGAGCGGAATGAACTAAATATACATAGATTGATTATGTCGAATCTCAGAATTGATGATAATTGAAATCACAATTAAAAAATGAGGTTAAAGATACTATTCGATTACAAATTATCTCAAACTAATAAAAAAATAGTTTCATAAAAATAATTTTTAAAAGATACACATATCAATACCTACGAGGGTGAGAATTCGTACAGTTGTTTAAAGGATATTAAATATAAAACATTTGCTTTATATTATTCGGAATAAAAATTATAAATAATTAATTAATAATTACTTTAATTTTAATAATGGACTAAAAATGAACAAGAAATTTTATAATTAATTAGGACAATTTGACAATAAAATTTGACAATGATTGAAGAATTTTATGTTTTAAATGTTAATAATTTTCTATTTAATATTTTATATATTTTAATTTTATAAAAATTTATTATTACAACAAATAAATAGAGTAATTTCAATAAATTGGACAAATTTATTAATTAAAAAATTATTTGTAAATTGTTTAATTTTATGTCGAATTAAAAATAAAAATGTTGTCGAATGAATGTAGAGTTAATTTAAAACATTAGAAAATAAATTTTAGATAAGATTTTAAAGCTTTTTTTACCTGTCATGGGCGATCTACTTTTTAAAGCCTATAATGGGTGTCAATAAATAAAGGATTTTAATAGGAATGATATATGTAGATCTCATATCACAATAGAATGGAGATTACTAAACAGTAAGAAATAAAAATTTTATAAAAATATACTAAACTTGAATATGTTTTATTAAAAAATAGTAAAATTTAATCTAAGTCATATACAAAAAAAATGTGTAATAATAAAATGTAAAATTTTTTTTGTATATTTACATATATTTTTGTATTTTATTTAAATTCTTTAATTCGAAGTTTTCCCTAATAAAAATTAGTTGTAATAAATCATTTAAATTAATTTGTGTCGGTCCTCAACCTCGAATATCCCTTAAGTTTTCTTTCGGCGGAGATTAGTGGGATTCCCATAAAACATATCAAAATAATATTAAATAAAAATATTACATAAATATATTTTAATTGATTGAAAAAGGAGAATTTTGCTAGAATTAAAAATAAAAATGGAGTAAAAATTATGGGTAAATTAATTTGTAAATTAAATTAATGATGAAAATATTAATGAATATATATAATTAATATTAAATAAAAATATTAAATAAAATTCGTAAAAAGTGCAAGGCACTGCAAAGTCAATGAGGTTGAATTCGAGAATCTTATCGCAAAATAATAAAGCATTAAGTTAATAGACAAAAACATTTACATTTATGTATAAATATAAAATTAAAATCTTTGTTCTTTGTCATGTTATTATAGTAAACGGATAAAAATTTTAAAGTTTAAAAAACTGTAATTGCCACTTTTTATTATTAAGAATAAAACATGAAAAATAAATTTTAATGTTTAATAAATGTAAAGGACATGGACCTAGAACCATGATCCATAAAACTTTTAAATTAATTTTAAACTAAAGTATAGACAAATAAAATAAAATAATAAAAAAAATTACATTTTTTCTTAAATAAAATGTAAACATGTTGACATTTCAAATGTAAAGGGCCAAAATTTTTGCCATTTTTTCAGTAAAATTCTACTAAATATAAATGTCATCCTTCAACCTTATTTTTTCGTAAGTTATAATAAGATAAAAATTTAATAATTCTTTAATTTTTAAAAATAAAAATTCATTAAAAAATATTAAGATTTAATAAAATTAATTCTATTTATTCGTATAATTATAAGTGTTAAAATTGTATGATTGTCTCATACCAGGTTTATGGAAGAAAATATATTTAATTATATTGGAAGAATTATTTAATTTGACAGAAGTTTTGGATATAATTGGAATATATCTATTTTTGTGTGTTAATTTTATATTAACAGTTATCACGTTTAAATAAAATTTATTTGAATATATTTCATATTTGATGCTAAATTAAGCTAAAACAATCAAAATTGCACATGCAAAAAACAAAATGCAGATAAAAAATAAAATAACATAGATAGAAATTAAATGATTTAAAT